ACAGGAGACCAGCATCATCCACCACCAAGCATCTCTTGGCCACTCGGCACCAGATGAAGCCGGAGACTGAGTTCAAGGTGTTATTACGCAACAACAATCTGATAATTTTGGCAGTTATTGAGGCTTTGCTAATCAAGGCGTATCAATCTGTGTTGTGTGCACGGAAACTATTGAGACAATCAATTAGGTTACCGTGGTCTTGATTTTGACATTTTGATTGGTGTGCCAATTTTTCCGCTGTATATAACTGTCTATGAATCCCGCTTGTATTGTGTTTGCGACTGATGAGAACACTCGAAACGTTGACATGTCGCAACTTATGTCTTCTCATTGCTCTAATGAAATGGTTGAATGATTCCACTGTTTTACCTTTCTGAAAAGAAGACTCCCCGCTACCGTTGCGAGTGCGTTAGATCGATCGTTATCTTTGCTCTGCAACTTAAATTTGGAACGCACTCGGAGAGACTTTCGAAGGATGTGTCCGCTCATGTTGTTTTCCCAGACGATTTGCCAAGAAGTTGTCAAGAATCAAGTCGCCGGTTAGCAACATCAATCTGTCAATGGTAACGTCGGCGCACATCGACGCCAGTCTAGAACGAGAAAGAAAGTTCTTCGAGTCGCTTAAAAGAGGTTCGCGTGCATGCTCAAAGAGTTGTCGTTGGCCTTTCCACTGACGTTATCCGCCGCACACAAACGAAATAAGTCCGCATTGTGCAGCGTTACCTTGCAATTCTTCAAATTCCACCTTCCCTACTGAGTGCTTAAAGCATGTATACAATCTGTCATCTGTACATTTCACGCGCACACAATTGGAAGTTCCCTCACTTGGACTGAAATACCGATTGCCGCCAAAAGCTATAGACAAGCTCAGCACGCAGGCTCAGTTTGAGTATCTGAATGAACAGCTCAGTGACCAAACGCCAAGATCAATGGAAGATGCGGGTTGGTTCCGGGCAAAATTGGTAGATATTGCGAACCAATACATGAACACGCCGATAATCCAGAAATGCTGTCTGAATGCCGAACACTATATGACGATCAAACAGTTAAAACAAATGGGACACAGAACGTTTCTGAAGCGGGATAAGGGATCAGGCGTTGTAATAATGAACCGGTCTGACTACATTGCAAAGATGGAAAGTATTTTGGATGACAGACGAAATTTCTAGTTAGATAAGACACCAGAAAATAACATCGTGATCGAGAAACAAGTGGCAAAGTAACTGCAGATTCTCTTGCTACATGATTACATTACTTATTCGCAATGCAAGCGGTTGAAAGTGACCGGCACTCAGACACCAAGAATGAGGAGTGCTGTCAAATTACACAAGGCAGGTAACCCACTGCAAACAATTATGTGTGTGAACAACTCCCCGTATCACAACGTTGTGCGGTGGCTAGCGAAAATGTTGGAGCCTGTACGTAAACTCCTGGCCACGTATTGCCTAAAAGGCTCCTTTGAATTAGTCCAGACACTGGAACACGTGCCGCTGGGTGCGGAGCACATGTACTCAATAGACCTTGACTCACTGTTCACAAACTTGCCCCTACGTGAAACAGTTGACAATTTGGATGATTTAATCGCATGTCAAAACCTGTATTTTGGTCTACCGCTGGAGAATTTGAGGGATATGATCCTATTATGCATGGGAAATATACGGTTCGAGTTTGTGGGGAATGCTTATAAACAGATGGACGGCGTCTCCATGGGTAGTCCTCTGGGACCAGCGTCAGCAGACATCTTTCTCGGCTTGATAGAAAGACCATTTACTATCAGTATTGGTGAAGCTACGTTGTACACGCAATACGTGGACGACATCCTAGTCTTCACCAGCAACGAACCTTTTGCGCAGCTGTCGACAGTCCTGAATTCAACTCATCTGAATCTATCCGTGACCCATGAGTTGGAACAAAAGGATTGTCTGCCATTTTTGTTATGCTCCTAAGGAGACTTCCCGATAGTATATTACAGCGCACGGTTCGTCGCAAGGCAACTTGGAGCGGGCACTACCTTCACATTTCCAACTTATGTCTTCTCACTGCCCTTACACCGAAGCCCACTTCCTTTTACATATGACTTCAAGCTGGTTAACTCATTTCATTCGGACGGACTACGAATGTGTTCTGGAATTATCTGTGAAAACCTGTCTGCACTTAATATAGTTATTGAACGCTTTTAATGAAGTTCTCCGCAGTAAATTCCTGATTACTTGGGTACAGATGCTGCATTACAGAAGGCCTAATCACACTTGCCGGAAATGTGATCCCAACATCCGACTCCTTTCGGAAGTTAAAAATTATGTACCCTAACTCGCTCAATTTCTCAAAACACGTGTTTTATAAGGTTGCAAAAGCAAGGCCGCTATGCGGATACATCACCAAAAATTTTCCCGTGCCTGAAACACGACTTGTGTCATATAATATAATTTTACGTCCGACTCTGGTATACCGACTGCACTATCGTTCACAATCAATTAGGGAATACAGTATAACTCTGCAAAATGTCCAACGATCATCTACCAATCTGGCCATGGGATGCTGCTCTAATCTGAGTTATTATGATCGTTGTGGACAACAACAAATCGATCCATTTAGCTGAAACCCTTCAAAAATCAACACCTCTTCTACAACATTAGTAACCAAAAAAGTTAAGAAGACAAGACTGTACTTGTGTTGTAGGTGACTGCTATCTACCCTAAACGAAATGGCGGTTTGTTGCTACCCACAAAGCCTTCAAATCATTAAACTAGGTCGAATTTCTTCCTAATGTGTCACGCCTACAGATACGCATGAGTGCAAACCGTGTTACATTAGGAAATTTCCAACAAACTTTCCTCACCATTGCAAATGTGTTGAAGATCTTTGGCTCAAAATAACCTATAAACATTGAGGGAAACTGTTATAAATAAAATATGAACAGGTTGTTGCTTAAAATCAGCTTGCACACTATATCTCATTACCCACAAAACCAAATCCTGTGTCCGTACAACCGATTAGCCCCTTCCTATTATTATCTACTCCTGAGCATCACAAACTAAAGAATGGTGATGCAAATATCAGTACAGTTTACATATTAGGTGATCAGGTCTAGGGAAAATGCAAAATCAGCAATATTGTTATTTAAATTTGTTTTAATATTTTGAATTCACATCGAATATGCCATAAATCCTATTCAGTGTACAAACAATCGCTTCCGCTTATGGGACGGTATACCTCATTCCGGTAAATATACGAATTTAGTTATTTATTTAAACAGCATTATACACAAAAGTTGACATTGTCTCCTCCTGAAAGCCGGATTACGCGGGCAGGGTTCGATTACCTCTTCAACAACATGGGGGAGTGAATAAAGTATATTCAAAGCCTGACTGTGAGATGGATGGTATAAGAAAGCCATCGGAGCAGACCACAAGTAATAGAGGATGGTTTGTTGTTGAATTTCGGAATTGGAGTTTATCGAAATTAGTAATAAGTAACGCAAGTAGGAAGCTTATTTTGGTAAAATAGATGATGGGTATGAGATAGCAACGGTTAAACCAGTCAATAACGCACCGAAATTCGGAGTGCATTCAGCAAAACGTTGGTGATGAATGTCCAAAATGGCTAAAGGATGACAACCGTATACACAAAACATTCACTGGAATATTCGGAAGTGATGCATATAGAACCCAACAGAGGGTATTTCTGCATTAGACAAAAGCACCGTCTTAACTAAGAGACCAGTTTGTCTCCTAAACTATCAAAATTGCAACAAAATGAGAAAGAGCACCAACGGGAACTTAAGTAAATGTTTAAATACGAGAAAAGGCATATACGCAAGCAACTTGAATAGAAATTTTAGCCAGAAAACGTCAAAGGAAATTGTGGACAGTGCGTTCAGGAACCATAGACCCAGATTCCAGTCACGCCATGTCGCACCCTATCACTTGTTATTGCAGACGTAATCCACGTTGACACGTAGGGCGCCTCAGACTGCAACAGGTGAAACGATGATAAAATGCAAATTATGACCGACTTCATTAGAAGCATTTCACTGTCTGTATAGGGACCGCCGGGCATCTTACAGTGAGTTCAATTAGATTCGCAACTTCACAATGACCTCCTTGACATCGCCTTCTTTTCGAAACCATGATTGTCCACTCCTGGTGGCCCCAAATCAATACTAATTAATGCAGTCCATCAACTCAAGCACTGCATTTTATAAGGTATAAAAACACGGCAAACACTAGTGAATTCAAGCTACCAGTAATCCAGCGAAGAACTAGAAACAACCAAGAGAGTATGTTTCAACAAGTCGTTTTATCATACCATATCCTAATTAGCCAACAAACGCTTGCATTGTCTACCGATACCATCATAAAACTAAAACTCTATCTCATTGATGTGACACGTAAAATGAAATCCATTGCTTTTCCAGGATTTAGCTAAACTAGCGCATATTATTCGGACCCGCCTACATATTATTTATATTCCAAACTCAGCTTATTTGTCCTTCATCCAATTCCAACTTCCAATGCTCTTGTTCTTGCCCTGTTCTGTTCAACACTCAATCTGATTGTCATCTTGAATGCATTACAGCCATGTGGACGCCATCCGTATTCCTCCTCAATGTACTCTGCGTATTGCTCGCAGAGGCGAGTCAGGTGCCGCAGCAGGCTGCGCACCAAGCACACAAGGGTGGTGTCATCGCGGCCTTTGTGTCGGACGTACAAGTAGAAGCGCAGCGTTGCTGCTGCTGTGATTGCTGTGCATGTGGGAAACCCGAGAAGACCACGACCAAAACCACCACTCCAGCTCCTACCACAACCACAACCACCACAACAACAACAACCACACCAGCCCCAACTACCACGACCACGACCACCACAACAACCAAACCGGCACCAACTACCACCACGACAACCACCACCACCACCACAACCACACCAGCTCCCACCACAACAACACTCACAACTACCACCACCAGACGTACAATCACCCGTCGAACCACCATCCCCGCTATGTTCATCGACGAGCCGGAGGAGTGCAGAAAAGCACTCACTGTAGTCAGCCAGATCCGTATTTATGTAAGTTTGCATGCGCCCCACATCACCTCACCACTCTCACTTACATCAATTTCTTCCTTGTAGCTCGAGATTGCAATCAATTCGCAGACAGAATATCGGTTCCTCAACGAGAAAGATTTGCAAATCTTGTCTGTCGTCAGGGACTTCTCTGTTAACAAGTTGATAACGTATAAGATTATTGTGAGTTGTGTCATCCAATTCCACCTAACATCATCGCCCCATTTTAGACACTAATAGCACCGGGTGTTTGCGAAGAAGTGGAAATCTGCAATGGCAAACTGGTATGCGATACGGAATATTGCATTGTGAGAAAACCGGAGCGAGTCACGTGTCCTGAACTTCTGCCATCGTGCCCATTAGTGCGCTAGAGTGCCGCACTCAAATCACCGCTTCGTTAGGACATGCTGCAATTATTGGATTGCTATTGTAGACATTTTGCTTGCACAACGCAATAAAACTGCTTTTAGTCTATTTGTTTTTCTTCTTTGCCTTCGGCATCATTTCACGCTCAACGTGCGATGGGTTCGGTTACATTTTCGAATCGGGTGCTTCATGCGCTGATAACAAAATTAGCTTGGCCTATTAGTCAATGAAGCAACTGTTCTAGATGGGTAAAACGGCGCTTGCTTAACATGGCCCGTAGGATGGATAGGGTGCAAAGTACAAAGTAAACTTTTAGGTAAAGTACGTGTGAGATACATGATTTACCAAGGGGTTTAGAGTGGCACATGTGCTAGCATTCCTGTCTGTATTGTAGGAAGGTTGCGTGTTACCGTCCACTACATGTTCTGCACTAATGCCATGCTCTGATGGTCGTGAGATATATCGTGCAGTGTGAATGTGTCAGGATATCGGTTATGCGTATTTTTAAAAAGATCTAATGTTGCGACGCTGATTATATGCACGAGGAGGGCGTTCAACGGCTGTGACACTCGAAGAGAGAAAACGTTCTGTCGACGTTCCATTGGCTCTATTGCGGAACCAGCTTAAACTGATGGCCCCTCAGAGATGTGTTTTGCCCGAGTTTGGAAAGAGAGTGACAAGCGTGTTTTGGGGTGCATTAGAATTTGATGCACCATTAAGAGATATCGCCGTGTACGCCGATAAAGTCGGTTGTACGTTTTTCGTGATTGCAGCCCGAGTGGATAGAGAAGGCGGGACAAACCTCCGACGACGAAGAACTTCGTCGCTATGCCCTGTGCTGTATCCAGGACGGTGGGTTGGTGGGGGTTCTACTAGGGTTGCCACGTGTGCGGCCACAATACGCGCCAAGGAATTTCGGAAAGTCTGAGTCGTCAAAATTCCCGAACGCTCTATGAAGAAAGCAGAAGTGCTAGTTTCCTTTCTTGGATGTTGTTTCTGACAGCCTCAAACAGCCAAGTTCATCAATGTGATACACAACGTATATTGTGTTCACCGCTATTTTGTGTTTCTAACCAATCGCAGCGTTACCGTTTGTTTATTTTTTTGGTTAAACTTAACAAGCCCTTATTTTCTGTACCGCTCGTGTCTGGAACGCCAAGTTCGTTACATTGCATTGATCCCATTATTTTTCTCGGTATTATTTCTTTTATCTTCTGCGAATGCTTGCACGCTTTCCGTAGACCTGTATTGTCTAGCGTTTCACAGTTCACCTGGTAATGGCCTGTAAAATCATTTAAACTTAGATTTAAACTCCATCAACAGCAGCTCATAAATCATTCGGTATGCGACGACTAGAATACACAGAAAAGGAAGCGTTCGTGTGAAAAAATGCAGGGCTGGTTCTGAACGCTGCAGTTGAAAGCATCCAATGTCTTTTTTTCATACTATGCATTGTCAAACGGATATTTGCGTGTTTAGTTAAGACATCTACATCGCAGCGTTTAAACGAAACAACATCCACCAACCTTCCAGAGCCCAGTTTATCTATTGTGATTGGGGCTGGAAATACTGTCTTCTTGCTGGCTTGCTGTCTTCTTGCTTCCTGGAGGGCTACACGACATGGCGACAGAGGAGAAGAAGCCGACGCGCCGGAACCCCTCGTTTTGGTGGACATGCGTCGTTCACACTGCCGACCGCTCTGCAGATGACTGAAAGCAAGCTGCCAGAAAATTGCAAAATGTGGAAGGCGATGTGGAGGGATTGCGTCACCCTGACCCAGTTGCATACTCAGCCAATGGCATACCAGTTGGCGATATTTGGGCACGGTGTGGGCGATGAAGCCAGGAGGGTGCTTGAAACATTGATGCTCAGTGACGCAGGTGAGGAAGTCGAAGTTTCAGAAGTGCTGAGAAGAATCGGGGCGTTTTGTGGAGGACAGGTAAATCAAACGTATCAGAGGTATTTATCTTTTGATCGCGATCGATCCCCAAGCGAATTGTTGGAGACTTAGGTAACAGAACTGAAACCGTTGGCGCGTAACTGCAACTTCTTCGATTGCATGCGAGACTCCTTGATACGTGATCGTATTTTCACTTGCAAACAGAATGATGAGCTATCTCGGCGCCTTCTGAGACAAAGGAACCAGTCTTTGGAACAATGTGTGAACGTCTGCTTGAGTGAAGGAAGAACGGCGCTGCAGTTCGAGCATGAGAGAGGCGAAACAAACACCGATCGGTGCGCGATACCTCGAAACAACAGTAGTCCGCCCCAGACACCCGAAGGACAGCGTCGGAGTTGTCAGTTTTACGGTCGTGTACATCCAAGAAGAAAGGAGAGCTGCACAGCTTGAGGTCGAACGTGCACAAAATTTTCCAAGGAGAACCATTTTGCTCGTTGTTGCAGATCCGCTAAGTTCATCCCAGTAGTCGAGAGCGTTAACGAACAGTTACAAGAATTTTATATGAGCAACTTGGAATATCGTTGAGAACACAAGTGTTTCTTCTCGACGCTTCTGATTCGAGGACTACCGTTGCGCTTCCAAGTGGACTCATGGGCTATTGTCAACATCCTATCTGAGAAGCACTGTGAGGGAATGATATGTGACAGGACGCAGAATTGCCTCCGAATATGCAATGGTTTAAAGCTGCTGCCGAAAGTTGACGCCACGTTGAAGGTCATGAATCCGAAAAACGGCACAGAACACCAACTCTATTTCCTGATAGTCTCAAGAGACCTTATGACTATTCTAGGTATTGATTCTAATCAGCGTCTCGGTTTTGTCTCTTTCAACCATGAAAGTTTAGTCCATTCGTTTGGAGATAACAAATATGGTTGACAGCTACCCAAGTGTGTTTGACGGAGTCGTAGGGAAGTTCTCAGGGTACGCTCATTTATCTTCAATCGAATCCGCTAAGCCGGTAGTATTGTCGACCAGAAAGGTGCTTATTGCATTCCGTGAAAATTTTTTAGATGAGCTGCAGCTTCTTGCTAGTTTGGGTGTAATGGCCAAAGTTGAGGAGCAGACAGATTGGGTTAGCTAGGTGGCGGTCGGTACTAAGAATTCTGGAGAAGTACGCGTGTGCATTGATCCAAACCCACTTAACGCCGCACTCAGGAGGGAGCATTATACGCTACCGACGCTAGACGACGTAGTTCCGGTACTGTCCAGAGCTAGAATATTCACTAAAGTCGACCATGCTTCTGCGTTTTCGCCTGTATTACTTAACAAAGAGTCAAGCTAACTGACCACCTTTAGGACACCTTTCGGGCGTTTCCGTTGGCTTCGTTTAGCGTTTGGACTGAAGGTATCAAAGGAGATTTCCAGAAACGACTGTTGCAATCTTTAGATGATTTACCAGGAACGTTCTGTGTAGCATAAGACCTTTTGGTTTTTGGCGCAACGCGAGAGGTGCACGACCAGAAGCTTCACCGATTTTGGCAGCGCTGTTTTGAAAGGAAAATCAAGCTGAAACGAGAGAAGATCGAGTTGCGTAGGACGGAAGTGGTGTTTCATGGACACATGCTAAGCTCCGAAGGACTGAAACCAGACACAGAGAAAGTCAGGGCCATCAAACAGATGCCTCCTTCTACTGCCGTGAAATCTGCTAGCAGGCTGCATGGGATGGTGGATTACCTAAGTCGTATCTTGCCCCGATTAGCCGATGTAATGATACCAATACGAAAACCGAAGCTTAGGAGTGAGAAGTGCCATTGGGACGCAGAGCAGGAGAAAGCATTACAGAAAATAAAGGAACTGATCACGAGCGCCCCGTTCTCGCTTACTATAACCCAGCACTCCCGCTCGAGATCCTCTGTGACAGCATTCAGTATGGTATCGGAGCCGTACTCATGCGCACACCACGCTGCACGCGAGGACACCGGTATAAACTTCTCGTACCGAAGTTGAAGCGGGTCGCTCAGCGACTCTGTTTCGAACGCAGAGTGGTGAATGTCTGAAACGACCTACTGCAGCAGGTAGTAAAGGCGAACTCAGTGTCCGAATTTAAGAAGATCCCAGACAAACACTTTGCAGAGGCAAAATATAGAGAGCGGAACGATAAATAAGGCGTATATGTCCAAGAGCGACGAGTGATGCAGCTACACAGAGAAAGCTCTACTCGTTGCTTAGAACCAGTATTCGGTATTCAGTATTCATGCAGAAGGGCAAGGCTATCGACTTTCGCAGCCGGACGCTGATAGAGACTGAGCTTCGTTACGCGCAAATAGAGAAAGCAACGTTTGCATTGGTTTATGCCGTGGAGCTTTTCAACGACTGTACGTTTGGCCTCAAATCCACCTAATTTACCGACCATAAGCCCCTAATTTCGATCACCAGCAAGCCGCTCCATATGGTTCCACGCCACCTGCAAATGATGCTTATTCGTCTGCAGAAGTATACTCTAGAGATTGTCTACCGGCCAGGATCCCATCTGCACATTGCCGACACGCTGTCAAGAGCGCACCTGTCAGGCACGCCTGGAAAGGAAGAAGACCCCGATTTTGTCCATGCAACACAGCTGTTCGCCATCACTAAGGAACGCTTGCGACATCTCCAACGATACACTGAGGAGGACGAATTGTGTAGGCTAGTAAAGCACACGATAATGGACGGATGACCCGAAGCCAAGAAAAATTTACCAAAGGAGCTGTCTTTCTCCTTCCATTTTCGTGACGAACTCATTACTGACCATGGATTAATATCCAAAGGCAACAGGATAGTGGTTCCAAAGGCACTGCAGCGTTCGATGCTGAAGCTGATACATTGTACACATTTAGGTACCAACAACTGTTTGGCAAAAGCTAGAGATCTGTTGTTCTGGCCCGGAATGACCAGCCAAATACGTGACTATGTCTCCAGTTGTGTACCATCTGCGCGCACGAGGTAAGCCAACCAAAACCACCAATGACGCTACGTGCTGTTCATGATAGACCCTGGCAGATGGTTGCACTAGACATTTTTTCTCACGATGGAAGGATCTATTTGACTGCCGTAGATTATTTTAGC